GCAACACCAAAGCAGGCAACCCACCAGCCTTCTGGGGCACTCCCCTGAGAGGGAAGCCACAGGAGGATAAAGTGGTAGGTTAATTCCATAGTGAAATTAGCTGTAGGCAGTTTGAAGAAGCATTCCTACAAGTCTCCCAGAGAGAGCCAGTGCTCTTAGACTCCCTGGAAAATGGCACCTGGCTCCTTTATTTATTTATTTATTTTTTTTCACCTGGCTCCTTTAAAACAACGCAACACAAACAGCCATCAGCCCCAATGACCTCAATGAAGATCCCAGGGGTGTCACAGTGGCTAAAGTGCTGGGCTGAGAACCAAAAGGACAGTGGTTTGAACTCACCACCCCTGCACTGGAGAGTAGGTGGCAGTCTGCTCCTGAAAACATTTACAGCCTTGGAAACTCTCTGGGGGCAACTTCTCTGTCCTATACGATCACTATGAGCGTGCACTCAGGCAACAGGGAAAGGGAACATAGGGGGCAGTGGTAGCATTCTCACCCTTCGTGTGGGAGGCCATAGTTCGATTCCTGGCCTATGCACCCCATCTGTATCCATCGTCTGTCTGCCAGTGGAAGCTTCCGTGTTACTGTGAAGCTAGCTAGGTTTTAGTGGAACTTCTACACTGAGACAGACTTGGGAGAAAAGCGTGGCATCTATGCCCCAAATCAGGGGATAAGAACCCCATGGAACACAGTGGTGTGACTGGAAGCCAATAATCGGGTGGCACAGGTCTGGACAGTGTTTTCTTCCATTGTGCAAGGTTGCCGTACATGGGGTTTGAGCTCCCAGGCAGGAATCAATGATAAGGGTATTTAAGAGCTCCTTTAGAATGGCCTCATCAACGGTAGCCATAGGTCTGGTCTGGACAGTGTTTTCTTCCATTGTGCAAGGTTGCTGTACATGAGGTTTGAGCTCCCAGGCAGGAATCAATGGTAAGGGTATTTAAGCGCTCCTTTAGAATGGCCTCATCAACGGTAGCCATTTATTCTACTTTCTCCACCATGCAGCTCTAAGGAAAAGGACAAGTGAAAGGAAGACAGGGACCATTATGCAGAGGCAATCTCTACCAAACAGGAAGCACAAGTAAATGTAAACCCTTTTATTTACAGAGGGAGAGGTAAAGTAAGAAGGCGAGATCCCAGAGGCTGACACCATTTGTCAGAGAAAGCCAGCCTCTCACAACCGAAGGGTCAGTAGGTGCAATTGAATGGTTATGATATATGAACATTATAGTAAAGTCATAGAGAACGGGAAAGATAGGAGAGAGAATAAAATGAAGGAGTCAGACACATTTTATGGTAGCATGCTCACCTCAGCCCCTGTTGGTGGTCCACGGGGAAGTGGGAGAGAAGGTGATTACTATCTTGGGATATTTATAGGTATTCACTAGTTACATATGTCACAAGATGGGTGGAATCTATGGTAAGATCCCTGAGCTGACAGGTAGGGAAACCTAATACCTGCACTGGGGGAAGGCATGAGAGGGGGCTGGATGACACTGCAGGAAGAGAGCACCAGGTGTCTGTTTCTGTAGGGAGATAAAATCAACCAGGCGCTCACTTTAAGGTGGCATAACTGCTAGGGGAGAATCTGTGGGAACGATATTTAAAGCAGGATCATGTACTTGGACTTTATCTCTAACTTACCAAAGTGGAGGCCCTCCTACCGTGGAATGCTAGCTTTCAGATTCCCTCTGTTAAAAGTTAGGGAAGATAGCCCTCGTCATATTTCCCTCAGTGTCAGTTTCCCACATAGGACAGTTTATCACATAGGGCAGGGGCTACTGAAGCGTCAGGTAGGTTTGAGGAGATGGCAGAAGACTGTGGGGGGCACGAGCGAGGCAGTGAGGGAGGGGGTCCTCACGCCCGGCTCCAGATCATGACCCTCCTGAGCCCCATTAGATGCGGCAGCACAGCCTTTGTAGAGGGACGCATTCAGACTGCGCAGGGTTCATATTTAGGGGGTCCTTTGAGGATTGCGATACAGCTGTTTTGAAAAGAGAGTGTTCAGTTATCCACCCAAAGGTTGACAGTTCAAGTCCACCCGGAGACACTGGCAAAGAAAGCGCTGCTTCTGAGCACACAGGCATTGAAACCCCTCCGGAGTGCAGCTCTGCTCTGAGGCCCATGCCATTGGCTTGATTTTGTTTTTGTGGGAGGGTTTTTCAATGACAGGAGTCCTGTTGGTGTAGTGGTTATGCATTGGGCTGCTAACCGCAAGGTCAGCAGTTTGACACCACCAGCCACCAGCCGCTCCGAGGGAGGAAAACGGGGCTTTCGACTTCTGTAAAGAGTTACAGTCTTGGAAACCCAGAGGAGCAGATTTATCCTGTCCTGTAGGGGCGCCGGCTGTGAGTGGGCTCCATGGCTGCATTTGGTTTTCCAGTTCTCCGTCATTGAGGAAGCATTGTTCTGACAAAGGTGAATTGCCACCCCAAACAGAAAAGAACTAAGAAATTCTAAAGAGACAAATGATGTTCTCTCATAAAAATCATTTATTGGCACAGCAGACATGACAGTTGTTTTTATTTTTTTATTCCTAGTATGGTAGCCATAGGCATCTATATCTGCAATTCAGTGTAAACTACATGTTACAAATCACTGGGAATCTAATTAGCAGGATGGATTTCAGAAAGAACAAGAGTAACTATGAGTCTACAGCGGCCCAGCCATCGAGTCTCATTAGAGATTAAATCAAATATCAAACTAGTGTTGCCCCGCAACAGAGATTTTTCTATAGCTGAGAAAAACCACATTGGACAGAAACAGGATAGCACCCATTCAATAAATTAGATACATTTAACTAGGGAAAAAAACAAACAAACCATGGTAATTGATAGAAACAATCTAAAGAAAGTAAGCATAAAAGTAAATAATTAACTATTTACATGTACAAACTACTTTTTTTTTTTTGGCCAGGACTTTAATTCGTTAGCCTCCCCATGCTGTCTTCCTTCCCCTTTATGTGATAATGTCTTACTCATGGCGAATCGCGTGGCTGAGGGAACACATTTAGGCTGTTAATCAGAACCTCCTGCACTCTTTCCAAGTACCACGTTTCCCACCACCTCGTGTTGACTGAAGCGTCTGAAGAGCGAACTCTACCTGGAAGCAGTCAGCGCCACCACTCTACCTTCAGCCATCTCCTGCCTGACTATTTCACTTTCTCTGTAAACCTCAGCGGAGCAACTGCAGAAAGGGTGTGAGTGGCAGCAGGTGGGGAGGGCTTACATGTGTCAGCAGGTACAAGTAACATGTGATGAAAAGTGTGTTCCTCTTGAGACCATGAGGGCCGTGGATTGCTCCTTAACATCCTCGACTATTCAGTATAGGCTCTCCCTCCTCTGGCTACTCATGAGACTACCCTCAGTTAGAAAGATCTCGATTAAGGGAAAAAAGAAAAAACAAACAAACACCTGCCTCCCATTTTTAAGGCTCAGTGTCATCGCAGCATTGACAAATAGAATGCTGACCCATTACTACCAAGAGGGCGCCTGAATGAGCCGTAACTTAAACAGTACACTTGAGAAGTCATTGCGTTGGTACTTAGAGAGTGGACAATGCATTGGTCCTATGGCCAGAAGGGGTGAGTGTTTAGCAGCCCCCTGGGGATCTGGAAGGTCTCACCCATGAGCCTCTTTGCCTCTTGTTTGTTTCCTTTATAGTGCGCATGGCCATTCGTGATGGTTTGATTTGACGGTTTGGTCTGCTCTCCTACTGGAAGACAAGCTCTAGGAGGCAGAGTTCTTGCGCATCTTATCCAGTGCTTTGTCGCCAGTGTCTAGAACGGTGCTTGGTCCTTAGAAGGTTCTCAATTAATAATATGCATCCTAAAGTAAACCAAATCACCAAGTCCCTTGATCTGCATATGTCTAGGAACTTTCTAGCTTCATGGTTTGGGGCCTGTCCTAATGACCAGGTTACTTTAATTTTCCTATGCTGCTCCACTGCGAACGCTTGTGAAGCCACGTGGCTGACACTTCAGTGCTTCAATGGACAGTAAAACCTCATGGTGGCCAGCTCCCATAGATAAGCTCTGCAGAGCCAATACTGTACGATAGGCACCTGGACAAGAACATTCTAGAAAGTAAACCACCATCTTCAAAGTCAGCCCATTCTTGCCTAGCTGCCCCCTACAACCTCTTTCACCACTAGAAAGCATAATAAAAAAGTCATCAAGAGACGTTTCTCTTGGCAATGCCAGTTCAGTACGTCACCAATAAGATGACCGGAAACACAATGTAACTCACCTAAATCAATTAAAACCACCACAACAAAACCTACGTGAAATAAAAGCAGACTTTGAGAGGGACACGGTGGGCTGTCTAGGTCCTGTGTTGATTGAAATGACTAAACGTGGACGTGAATGCAGGCATTACAGCAATGGAGAGGCTGAAGGGCAGGACAAAGCTGAGGGTGTGAAGACTGTGGACAGCCAGCTGTTCTCTCCTCCTCCTCTTCCTCATCGCCCAGCAGGCTGGCAGAGCCTCTGCTACTTTGGGGTGGAGGTAAGACAGGCAGCTGGTGTCTCCACGATGCAGCTTTAGGCTATTGAGGCTCGGCTGGAGTAGAAATCGGGGACCGGGAGCCCCGTGTGAAGCGTGACCTGTGGAAAGAGACTGTGAATCCTGCGAGGTCCCCAGTGCCACCTTGTCCCCATACACAGTGCCCTGTGGGTGTACACCTAGAGCCAAGTACAACTCTGCTGATGGTAACCTGATGGGCTCCCCAATCCTTGGTGACACCTGCTATTAGGGTGCTCACCCACCTGCTTCGTGGAAGAACTCTAGGGGAGAATCGGCTTCTTTTGGCTGAAGACACAGGCCTTGCTTCGTTGGTAGTGACGCCTACTGGCCACAGCACAGTAACCGTGGTCAACTCACTAGATGGAGAACAGACTCGCAGAAACAGCCTTTCTCCGATTTCTTGTCGATTTGTTATCCAGACTAGGGTAGGCCTTTCACTTGGGGGTCTGTAAATCATTGCCAGTTCGGCCGAGCCCCTTACGCTGTTACACTCATTTCTGTTCCGCCTCACACCTCCATGGCAGCTAACTGGGAAGGACGGGACCATGCCATCCACCCCGCCACTCCCTCACTTCTTGCCCTTACGGGTCCGTGTGGGAAGAGACTCAGCACGCCCTGGAATCTCTTGAAGAACAACTTCAGTGTTACTTTAAAAAACATTTTTTTAAGGGAGACGGCTACAGGCGTGGAAACCTCAGAATGAACTCTGTGGGTAATTTATCCTTTTGTTCTGGCCATGTCAAGAGACAGCCCTCTGAAAAATGACATTTCAGCCTCCCAGGTGCTGGTAGTGAGAATGGCAGGGCTCCCGTGCCAGGGACCCTATGGTGAGTTTCTGACTGGGTTGCAATTAGTTGTTCTACATGTCCTGATAAACCAGCGGTTCTCAACCTGTGGGTCACGACCCCTTTAGGGGTCAAATAACCCTTTCACAGGTTCAGTTAGCAACAGCAAAATGACCGTTATGAAGTAGCAACGAAAATCATTTCATGGTTGGGGGCTCACCACCACATGAGGAACTGTATGAAAGGGCCGCAGCATTAGGAAGGTTGAGAACCACGGTGATAAACAATGATGATCTTTCCCTTCGTCCTCTGTACACTAGCTCCCCAAGACTGCAGTTCAGCATAGGGCAAAAAGCACCGGTAGCACTTTGCGTTCTCCCACTCTGTCTAGCTGAAGGCAGCCGTTTCTTGACTGAGACTCATAGGTGTGCAGAGGTCCTGCTCAAGAGGGTCCTGAGAGTCCCAACAGAGACCACCAGGGCACACTCCCTCCTCAACTGCGCTCTCTCTCCCGCTTGCCCCTCACTCATCTGCCCCAGCCCGCCGCCCCCTTGCCCCTTCCCTGGTCACATGCCCCTGGCTCCGCACAGGCTTCACAGAGACTATTTCTTGGCCTGGAAAGCTGGTTGCTGAGCTATCTGCACAGCTCGCTCCCGCAACACTTCAAGGGTTTGCTCACCTATGGCTGCAACAGGGCCTACATCCCCTTGAGGCAGGGGTTCTCAACCACTGTGGGTGGCGACTCCTTGGGGGTCGAAGGATCCTTTCACAGGGGTCGCCTGATTCATCACAGTAGCAAAATGACAGTGATGAAGTAGCAAAAATAATTTGATGGTTGGGGGGTCGCCACAACATGAAGAACTGGGGTCCCGGCATGAAGAAGGTTAAGAAACACTGTGGGCTTGAGGCTCACAAGTTCACTCCCCAAGCCCCTCCCCCTGCCCTTGGTCTGCCCTCCACTGCACCCTCTCACACACTGAGTACTGTAATGAACACAGTCATTGTATGTATTGCTCCTTGTCTTGTTTCCTGAAACCGGAATGTAAGCTTGATGAAAGCAAGATTGTTATCATTTTTTTCCCACTGATGTATCCTAGATGCTTATACACTAGGATACACGGTTGTATCCTAGATGCCTGGCGTGCTATAGGTGCCCGCTAGATAGTTGTTGAATGAATGAACACGTGAGAAGAACTGGTAGTTTCATAGCCATAATACACCGTAAGGCACTTGTAGGAAGGGGCCATGTTTCCTAATTTCCTGTGCTCAGAGCACCTAACCAGGCTGACCAAGAAGAGTGCCGAGAAGACTCTTAGAAGTTCTGAGCTGTGTGCTCAGCTACTTCTTCGCAAGCACTCACGGAGCTTTGCATGACTCAGTTGTTTTCCTGCCAGCTGGGGAACTGCTGCACTTCCATGTGCTGATGAGACTACTGCTCAGAGGGACACAGATGGCCGAACCAGGAATAGAATCCCAGTTGCCCAGTTCCTGTTCACGAGACTGGCCAAGTTTAGAAGGAAGGATGTATAGTGCTTTGGAATCATATCTGCTGTCCACAGGGAAACCTTTCTCTCCTTTTCCCCTCGATCTGGGCCTCAACACGTTCGGCTTCCTTCTCTCAGGCATTAGCTAACTGCCATGTGCAGCCTTCGAGGCAGCGGTCCGTTGGGGGCTCCGGGCTTACCTGCACATTCCTGTTGAGGCTGACTGCAGGGAAGAACAGGCCCTCCACATTCTCAAAGGCTATGGGGCCTTGCTGTTCGTCGTTGACAAAAAAGGTCAAGGTTTTCCTGTTTAAGTCGAGGAGGACCCCAATGGTGGCCCCCTTGTTGATCCCTCCCTCAGTTCTGTGAGGAAAGAAAGCAGTTGGGTTTCACTTGCTTGTCATCATTCTAGAAACTCCCCTTCTTTACGGTTGAACTAGCGCTTCGCAACCCTTTAAGAACGACTGCCTCCCCGAGGAGGCTTTTTACATAAACTTATTCCCCAGATCGTGCCTCACCTGCTGCATTAAAATGTGATATCACAGATGTACTGCATGTCCACACATGCACTGTAAACGTATTTGTGCTTGCGCCATGAAAGAAAGAGTGAGGTGGGCTATTTTTGGCCTCCTGGGGGAGAGACTGCCCCTATTGAGAAGGCTAGGGTTGCTTTGCTGTCATTCTGCTATGGCTGAGCATGAGGTCGTCTGTTCGGATGGGGTTTCTCCCACTGGGCCGCCGCAGTAGGAAACAGAACATGGAAGACCGAAAGGCTAGCCTTTGGACGATCAGCGGTCTGACCATAGTTATGTTACACACTGCACAAATGGTGTGAAGGAAAGATCATTAAATTCCAAACGGCTTCATTTGAAAGTCAAAATAAAGAAGCACTTAAGTTGAACCCACATTGTAAACCAAACCCCACGCTCTTTCAGTCCATGGGGACTCACGGCAACCGTGTAGTAGCCATCGGATCTGCTCTGTAAGGTTTTGGAGAGTGTGGATCTCCCAGGAGAAGGCAGCCTCCTTTTTCTCCCACAGAGTGGCTGGTGGGGTCGAACTGCTGACTTTTCAGGTAGCAGTCCAACGCTTAACTAAAACATATGCATGAGAGATGGGACTTGGGGCAGCAGGGTGCCCATTACCTAGAGAAACTCCTTCTGGAAGCATGCACATTTTTTGACATGTTGATTCAACGCAAGAAGTTAGGCTCTTTAACATCCCAAAACAACATCCCCAAAGAGGAGTCACCCTAGCAAATAATACTAACAATAATACTCATCCTCTTGGCGAGATCGATATGTTAGGGGATTTGTGGCAAACATCATTGTACAAAGCTGCGTCTTATTGAGGCTTCCAGAGATGGTTCACAAACTGGAATGGTTCACACCTGTCTGCTCTCCCCTCTTTGCGGGCATCCTCCTCTCAGCAGAGCACAGAACTGACAAATGCCACTCGACTCCTCTGGCATGCAGAAGACAGACTGTACAGAAGCACTCAGAGATGGTTTGACAGATTGCACCTGGCTAATCCATAGGCTTGGCAGTGACAGCACACATGACACACATGCAGTCTTCATGCAAACAGACATGTTTGTTTGTCCTTAAAGACGTGTTTCTCTGGGCAGTGTGGTCATGGTGTTATCACCTCCCTCCTTCATTGCAACCTGACGACACTGGAAGGGAAAGGAAGCGCAGTGCATGGTTGCGATGTCATAACTAGAGTGGGGGGCGGTGTCTACAAAGTGTACAGCCCTGAAGATAACTGATAACAAGCTGAAGTGGTGGATGGATTCCTCCCATGTGACAGTGAGTAATGTAAGCCCGCATGGAGATGGATAGAAAATATCCTAGGGGAAGTGAAGGGAGACCATGGGAGCCGTCTGGCCTAGAGTAGGGTCAGTGATGAGTCTATGGAAAGCCCCAGGATAGTGGAATCAGTTATTCTAACTCTGCCTGGATCCCTTTCCCTTTGCTTTGACTGAACACAACTGCTTCAACCCCCGGCCCCCAGCCCCCAGAGCCACCAGCGGGCATGTCCATATCCTAGGGAAATCTTTTAGAATAAAGAAGGCACTGCTCCGCCTAGAAAATTTATGAAAAATACATTTGGAGAGGGAGCACAAATCAAGTGAAGAAGGAAGTCTAGCTGAAAAATGACAGTATGTGTTAAATGATACTTTTCTATATTTTGGCAATAGAGGCAACCTCAAGGAGATGGTTAGATTCTCTTTCCTTAGCAGACTGGTGCTCTGAACCTAGACAACCATAACAGTGCCTAGTCTCATGCTATTCCAACTGGCACCCAGACTATTTCATTAGATGAAGGGCGTATATTCTGCGTAGTCATATTGATAATAATCATCAGAAGGCCAACAATGGTTTCTAATTTTAGATGCCAGTGAGGTGCCAGTCAATGCAGCAGGCATTTGCATGTCACTCACTAAATCTTCAGAATATTCTGGCAGGAAAAAAAATTACTACTCCCTTTCTTTGGATTTGGAAGTGGAGGTTCAGAAAAAAACTAGTAACTGGCTCCCAAGCACCTTTCTGGTAAGCTGAAGGTTTGTGTTTTGTATCCTGGATGGTTCTCTTTCATCGGTGTGTATGGGGAGCCTTACTTTCCACACAGAGAAGTGAGTGGCCTGGCAAAGTCCTCTTAGTGACCCAATAGGACAAAGTAGAATCGGCTCAGTGTGTGTCTAAGGCTATGTATCCTTTTTCTTTTTTCTTTTGTATTTAAGTCTGGTCTCTCTTCCCCTGTGGAGACACAAACAATACCCTCCCTTTGGGTGGGTCAATGCCCTATTCCTCCACCACACATCTCTCTCTCTCTCTCTCTTTTTCGTCATCTTTATGAGAGCAGAAAGCCTCATCTTTCTGCAAAGTTGCTGGTGGGTTTGAACAGCCAACCTCGACATTAGCAGCTACTATGTAACCCACTCTATAGCAGGGCTATGAGTCAGCATTGTCCCCACATCTCCATTTTGATGCAAATGGTCACCAGCAGGACTGATTTAGCAGAAAAGGAGAAGGCCTGAGCTACTTAATGAAGACCACCTGCCGCCTTTTCTTAGTGTCCACTTAATAGGACTTTGAACTTGGCTTGAATGGATTAGACCTCTAACTTGCCTTGTTATGTCATTTGGCATTATGATACCAGGAGTGAGGGAAGTGTAGCGTGGGGACCTTCAAGAGCAACTAAAGGGATCTTTTGCTTGGGGAGCTAAGTCTTTGAAACTTTACGGTGGCTATTAGAGAGCCCCCTTGCTGGTGCGGGTGTGTGGGGATCGGGGATGAGGAAGCCTTTGTCTGGCGCTCACCCTCCTGATGGGAAGCCAACGTGAAGAAGGCTTGGTTTGGGAGGCTGCAGGGTACCTGTTGGTGTGCGAGTTGTTGTGCATGAACCAGCTCCGGTTATTGTCCACATACATTGCCCAAGCTTTGTCGTCCTTTCCTAACATCACATCCTTCATCACGTCGATGCGCGCCACACCGAAGGCAGGGTCCGGGTGGTTGTCATAGCGATCCACAGTTAGCTCCCAGTAGTGGACGCCCTTGGAGAAGCCCGTCTTCCCCAGCACCACCCGGTCATCGTAGCTACTGCAGGTCACAGTCAGGTTGTCATTGGAGAAGATGATGTCAGAGTGCGCGGAGCCAGGGTCGAAAGCAAACCAGGCCACTGAGAACAACAGAATGAAATCGGGTCAGTAAGGCTGACTCAAGTTGCTCAACACTGGAGCAGACTCTGGTTGGGCGAGGAGCGCTGAGCCCCATTTTCATGCTGCCATGCAAGAAGGAGGTCCAGGGCCAGACGTTAGCAGACAAGGGGCATATCCTGGAAGGTGGCACTCTGCACCCAGAAACAGTGGGAGGACACAGGACCGATTCGGTCCAGCAGGGGTTACCTGACTCAGACTCAGACTCGGTCCACCAGGGGATCTGGGAGTGAAGTGGCATTGGTTATGGACAGTGCAAGTCCCCTCACCTGGTGACTGGCAGAACAGTGCACCGGAGACATGAAGGGAGAGCGGGCCTGCTAAGTTGCATGAGTAACCCCTTGAGGTGGGGAGGCTAGGGTCGAGAGGCCTAGATGGAGGAGGGGTAAAACACAGGGAGTGAGATCAGGAAATAGCCCTTCAGCAGAATGGTGAAGCCCTAGTTGTTTGGAAAATGTCCCCAAGCTCCAGGGGAAGCTCAAAGACGTGAGGCTCTTGGCCACTAAGTGAATTGTTACCAGTGATTTTGACACAGATGTAGGACAGGCGGCTTCCTTCGTAATGTACCAATAGCTTTGCTTGTTCTTCCTAAAACTAAGAGGTCGAGCATTTTGCTGAGGCAGTAGGTGTTTTGGACAGGAAGAATGATGCCTTGGTACACTATGCTAACTATCCCCCACCCCCCACCCCCCAGGTAAGTGCCATTTATAACTAACACTCCCTGGAGAGATGTAGCTGCTGACTGATTGAACCTGTGACCCACCTCCCACGCCCCTCGGTCTTGGCTATTGTAATAGAATAAGGTGGTTCCATACCTGCCAACAGCTTTTTAATGTCAACTGTTGTCATTCCCAGTGAAAGGCATGGAAGAGAGAAATGGGAAGCAAAATTGACATTGATAAGAAAACATGTCTCTTTGGAGAATCGAATAGCCAAAGGGGCTCAATTAAAAATGCTGTGCATGCTACAACCATGGGGCTGATTTGTGCCTTTACCCACCTTTGGGGCCCTAAAGGGGGCTTTGTAGTGGTGGCTAAGAAAACTGGGTTGCGGGGTGGGGGAGGTTAGCTTCTTTGAGGCATCCCATTAAAAAAAAATACAGGTACCACGAAACAAAAGACTTTAAGAAATTGTTATAATGAGGTCAGAATGACAATTAGACACTTTTATTGACATAAAAATAAGTTGCTGCCGTTTATTTTGTGAAGGACATTGAGCATACCAACCACAGAGGTGAGACATAACAATTACAGTAAGTATACTTGCCTAATTGAGAGTAGGGTGCGGACTGTGGCTCAAAATTGCATCCTACAAAGAGATACTGCACATCAAAGCTATGAAACAACAGCCAGGTCCATAAAATGACTTGTCTGTACTTACAAAGCACCGACCGATTAGAGTCACCAGAGGCCTGATTCATGGGAAACCAAAGCCCTTTTGGGGTTAGTTTAAATCATTGGCTAAAATTGTTTCTCTTCTCTTTCTAAATGAAAGAGTAGACTTAAAAAATTTTAATCATGTAATAATACATCGTCCTCTAATTAATTCCAAGCTCAGCACCTTGAATTACATCATCTTCCAAGTTCTGTCTTTTCCACCAACAGCACCACATTAAGGAGGCTTAGTGCTTTAAATGGGAGAAGGAGCCACCCCATTGAAATGGAGAAATCACTGGGCACTCATGGAACGCCACACTGCATGCGTACTGTGAACTTTGGTCACTCTGCCTATGCCTCAGGGCCTTATTGTGGCCTGGGCCCAGATTAAACGATACGTATTTCACTGAACATCTAACATACTCCATGCACTAATAAATACGTTTGAGGATTCTTAATATGAAGGTAGTAAATATATATCATCTTGTCTCCTTATTTTACACATCCATCCTTCTCACTTGAGGGAGAGGAGGGAGGATGGGGGTGGGGTGTGTGTGTCGGGGTAGGCATTTTCTTGGAGTTCTATTAGAAACACCTGTGGAGAATCCTGCCCCCCACCCCCTTCTTCTCCAGGATTTGTAAACTCTCACTGGGTGAGAACCTAAGTCAGGCTAGGGAAAGGCATGCCCAGAGGTAAACCATTCTCAGGAGTCTGACCTACAATTTTGAGTGGTGCTGGGAACTGACATGGAAATGAGCTTTAGGAAGTAGAGAAAGGATTGTTTAATCCCCCCCCCCCCCCCCCCCCCCCCCCTGCAGTGTAGTAAGGCCCTTAGATGCTACAGGACAGAGTAGAACTGCCCCATTGGGTTTCCGACGCTGTCATTCTGTACAGAAGCCGACTGCCACCCCGATTTGCCGCAGGGTGGGTTCTAACTACAGCTGGTTTCGGTGACAGTCAAACCATTGTGCCACCAGTGTTCCTGGTGGGTGATGCACTGACTTAACGTGATTAGAGAAGAATTAAGAAAGCAACGCAATGGAAAGAAAGTGGGGGGGGGGGGGTAAGTTAGAAACGGAATTTAAATATTACATCTTGACTCTGGGTTAGTATAGTTCACTCTGGCATGA